CTGGCTCGTGCGACTGCGGGCAGCGCCCGGGGCTCCTGACACCGCGCTGACCCCCTTACTTCTTCAGGAGAGTGGAAGAGGGGAGCGGACACGGGAGCGGCCGCTGGCTTGATGCAGGGTGACGGCCGCTGCCTGTCCAGTTCACCCCACTGAACGGAGACCCGGGGCCCAGCTCTCCACACGTTTGGGGGCGGGGGCGTGTCACTGACGTGACATCCAGTCCAGTTACCCGGGAACCCCCATTTCTCTACTGGGGGTTCTCTACCCCCATTTCTCACCTTCCCCAGCCCACCCTGGCCTTGGCTGCCCGGTTAAGAGCTGGGGAAGAGCTGTGGAAGGCAGGAGCCTTCCCTTGAGACCTGACTCTGTCTGGCTTTGAAAGCGGGGTGAAGCTGCTGCCCCCCTTGCCAGAATCGTGTTCAATTTTCTTTGGCCAGACCTATGAGTGACTCCAAAGAATGTCTTTCTTCTAGAGTTCTCAGGAATCTCTTCGGGTATGAATAACACTTAATAGCTCAGAAAGGTGGCAGGCTTTCCCCATAAAGGTCTGAGTAAATATTCTTGCCTGCAGGCCGTGTGGCTCTGTTTTAATCACGCACTTCTGCTAGTACAATGTGAAAACAGTGAGTGGCCCAGGTCAGTAAATGGGCCCAACGGTGCCTAGTGAAATGTTATTTGGAGATAGCAAAATTTGAATTTCATATCATTTTCACACGTTACAGAATATTCTTTTGTTTCCTCCCCAATCCTTTGAAAATGTAAGAGCCATGGGCTTGCACAGGGCATCAACATGGTGGTGGCCAGAGCCCTGGACAGGTGTCCAACATTTTTGCAATGAGCAGAGAGCCCTTGGCTTATGGCACAGCACCTGGGTTAGGACCCGGATCTAACATATGCGGCTTAGAACGTTGGGGGGGAAGTGAGTCAGGCTGCCTAAGATCGACTACTCCCCCATAAAGTGTACATTGTAACCCTCCAGCTTTCAGGGTGAGTTAGAGGGAAACAAGATTGTTGCACATTGCCCCAGGAATCCTCCCAACACCACACAATGTTGGGGGGGGGCGCTCTGGGGCTGCGTGTGCAGTGCTTTGCCGAACGCCTGCTAGCCTGGCAGAAGCCAGTGGACATCCGAAACACCCCAGGGCATTAGGTCGGAAGCATCAGGAAGAGGTGTGCTGTGCCCAATTTTAAATGAGCAGATAACAGTGTCTTAAATTCAGCGCGGCCCTCACGGCCAGAAACCCGAGAGCAGTATCTCACCGTAGTGGAATGCAGCGTCAGCAATCATCTCCCTGGCCTGTCTTTTTAGCGACCTAGCTCTCCACCAACCCAGAGGACATCGGCCATTTATGCCAGTGGCTCATCTCTAACTACCCTTCGGACCTTCGAGTCGTGGACTACCCCTGACGCTGTCAGACCATCGGCAAGTGGCTTTGGAAATGAGCGCGGACGTTTTAACGCTTAAAATCTTGACTCGCTCAAACAATGTCAGGGTTTCACATTCTTTGGGTGAGTTCAAGTTGCTTGGCAAAGACACCTGTAAGGTCTGTCTCTGCCCTTCACCCCTCCCCCACCTCTCTAAAGGGTTCTGACCATCCCAGGTAGTTGTTTGATTTAGTTAAGGAAATAAATAAAGCAGAGGGCAAAAAGCAAGAAACCTGAAGTGTAAGGACATTGTGGGGGAGGGGGGGTGGCGGCGGGGGAAGCATAAGGAGGTTGCCCTGGAAACTTCAACGTGTAGGCTTTTAACTGAAGTCATTGATCGCTTTTAATAAGAGTGTAACGAAATATATACATTCCAGAGCCCTCGTTTGGTTAAACCAACAAGAGAAGATTGTGCTTCAGAAATAGGCCCGCATTTTTAGAGACAGCAGCTGGATTTCTGTCAGGAAACACAAATAATAAAATCAGTGGATCTGGAACCGGAGAAGGGCAGGGGTGGGGGGTGTGGGAGCAGAGGGCTCCTCTTGGACACCTTCCGGGGGGTCCTGGGGCTGAACCCCACAGCAAAGCCGCTGCCTGATCCCTCCCCGCGGCTCGAGCAGGTCAATCTGAAAGAGTGCCGGGCGCCCAGGGGACAGCCGGAAACAAACGATTTTATTAGTGACATTAAGTAGACTCACAAATGCGTTGGCGCTCTTCCTGGAGGGAAGCGCCTGTGGGGGTGGAAGTGAGAATCCAGGGGTCCCTGCGGCCCTGGGCGGGGGGGCTGTTTCCAGCTGAATCTGTCCTTTGCTTCCAGACGGGGTCAGCTGTGGCAGACGGTCACCCGCAAGCCCGGAGTTCTCACTTGGCCAACGGGTCCGTCAAGCGTTCGTGGACTCAGGCCGCCACCAGCAGACCAGAAGATCAAGTCGCAAGTGATCCTTGTCCGCACAGGCCTTAGGCGCTGCAGAGGCTCGTTCCTTTTCCCTGCTAACACAGGGACCCAGGACGGGATTCTTCGGCTGGGGTGCGCAGAAAGCCGGGGTCCCCTGGGTTGGGCTGCCTTCATGAAAAACGCCGTTTGGTACCTGCTGCTTAGAAAATCGAATCTTCACGCGCTTCCTTCAGTTCCAGAGTTTGGCAATTGACACAAAATACACTGTTGAACGGTGTTATCAGTAACTGTAGAAAAATAGACATGTTTGAAAGGGAGAGTCTAGTAAAAGGGTTTTGGGAGCGTCGCCGGGCGAGTCTGAGGCTCGCATTACAAAAAATGAGATTTGGTTCAGGTTTGTCCACCTAAGTGGACATCAAAGACAGCGAGGGGCGGGGACAAACCACACACCCAGTGCCGACCACGGCCGGCTTCTCCTCCGTTGTGCTGAAGCCTCTCCTGGGCCGGGTGCTGGCCGGGGGGCCTTGGAGCCGAGGAGCGGGCGCCATGGGCCCCCAGTCTTCAAGAGCTGAGTGAGCAGACTTTGCATGGCCCTGCTCCGAGCTTTGTGCTACCCTGCCTTGCGGGGCTCTGGGGGGTGTGGCAGGGTGAGCGCCCCCAGGCCAAGAGCGCCCTAGTAAGGCGACAGCGAGGTAAAGGCCACAGTCGCTCCCCAAGGCCCAGCAGGGAGGGGATGCCCCCCCCTTCCAGGACAGCCTTCTCCTAGAGTATGGGGTGAATGAATGATTCCATGGACACCCAGTGAAAGGCGGCAAACAGGACAGGGCTGAAGCCAACAGGTTTGTTTTCCGCAGCAGAGTCGTGAGGCGGTTGTCTCGCTGCAGGCCGCGGACCTGGGAGAAGAGAGACCCCGTTCGCGGAGTCGCTTGCCTTCTCTCCGACGGACGAGCTCTTTAGCAGACAGCGGGGCCGACGCCGGCGCCCTCGTGGCGAAGCCGGCTCGGGAGGGTGAAAGCCTCAAACAGCTCCGCCCTAGGAGCCGACAGTGAACTTGGACCGGTCAGTGAGTGTTCGCGATGGACAGCTGCGTCCGGGACAATTTACAAATGTGAAGTCGAAGTGGAAGTTCTGGGGCAAAATCCCCACCTGCCCTTGAGGCGTGTCTAAGACTCTCCCCTTCCTTCTTTTTTCCACTGCGTCGTTTAGATTTTCAATACAATATTTCCTCCCTCCCTTCCTTCCTCCCTGCATTTATCTTTGTAGAGTAAAATAAATGAAGGTTGAGTTGCCCGTTTTCTTTTGAGTGGGAGACACTTGGATTTGATTTCCCGTCTGTGGCACACTCTAGAGAGATTTCTTAGACGACATCAAGACGGTTGACAGAATCTCTGAATATTAAACCGATCAAACCGGTCATTCATAACCGTAAAAGAACAAGAATAAAGGCCAACTAGTAATGCTGATGGATACCCCGGGGGGGGGGGGCTGGAGTCAGTGTGGGGTCAGGGGCTACGGACCCCATCACCACTCTGCCTTGGGAGCCTCTTGGCCCGATACCAAGCCCATCTTGGGCGGACACTGTCTCACAGGCTGTAGTTTCTTCTCATGACAAAGTAGACCTGCTGGAGAATCAACGGTGTTGCACAAGAGAAGTTTCCCACGCTGCTGTGTTCCAAAGGGCGTGAGCTCGGGGAAGAGCACACACGAGGCCCTGGCACTGGCCGGCGTGTCCTCCTTGGGGACGGTTCTCGTGACGAGGCAGTGAGGCCCTTGTGTCTTAGAGAAGAGACCTCAGTTTGTAAACATTTCCCAGAGTATCAGCGTGTGGGTGGTGGCTGTCCCATCTCCTGGGCCTCCCACTTCCCCCAGACCTATGGCTTATTAGGTTGATGAGAAGGTCGGCAAGGGACCGTGAGGACCCAGACGGCCACTGGACACGAACACAGGGCGATGGCCATGCACCGAAGGGCCAGTGCTCCGTGGGGCCAACTCAGAAAGCACAGACGTCAGAACAGAAAGGCCTACTGGACGTCGGGAGTCTTCCTTTTTATCTCGTTTCTAAACTTGCGTGTCTACACCTATATCTACACCTATGTACATTATTTGAGAGTTCTGTTCTACAGTACTTTTGTACATGCTGGATTTTAGTACTGACTGCAAAAAAGAAAATAATTACATAAGGCATACATATGTACAGGGTCTTATCTTCCGCTCACCGGGTCCTGCAGCCGCAGCGCCCCCGAGGGGCAGGCACCGGGCTCCTGAGGTGAAATATGTGGGGGTCTGGAGAACTGAGGGCCCTCGTCTGTGTCACGCACAAGTCAGCGGGCACCGGAGACCCCACTTGACGTATCCAGGTAAGTTCCTTGACACACGCAGGGGAGACGTGTTCGCTGGGAGCTGAACATGGGGCTGGCCAGGAGCCCAAGCCGGTGCCCTGAACCTGGTGCCGGTGCCCTGGTGGCCGCTGGTGCCGGTGCCCTGAACCTCCACCCCTCCGTGTCTACCTCGTCAGCTGAATAACCGAGAGAGGGCGGGTAGGTATTTGCCACCTCGAGGATCTGTTTGCTGATAATGCCAACATCAGATAGAAATAGAGAACAAAATACGAGCGACAGCGAGGACGAGATGAGAACGGGGGGCAGGCCGAGGGCGGGGCGAGGACGCAGTGGGCACGGGGCTACACCTTGGACTCGTTCTCTAGGTTGGCCACATCACCGTTCCTCTCCGGCTGCTCTTCCGGGTTCTTTTCCTCCTCCTCAGTCTCCAGTTCTGCATGCTGGTTGAGTTTGCTGGACACAGACCAGCTCAGGGGCAGCTCCGCCCTGCTGGCCAGCTCGGCCAGCTCTTTGGCACTGAGAGACGGGGTGCTGGTCTCGTAGGTCTCGTGGAAGCTGTTGTAGTCCACCTCGTAGAAGCCATCTTCCAGCGTCAGGACGGGCGTGAACCGGTAGCCCCACAGGATCTCACTGGTGACGTAGGAGCTTCGCGCTTGGCACGTCATCCCTGCGGAGAGAGCGGAGTTTAGTCTGTGAGGGGCTCCCGAGGCCAAGGGGCCTCGGGGCCGGCAGGCTCCGGCAGGTGTCCCTCATGCTGCAGGCCTCCGGGGACTGCCCTCGGGCCGGCCGTGGGGATTGCAGGTGGAGAACCCCAGGTGGGGTCTGGGACACCCACGCACCCACGCACCCACTGCACTCTCACGTGGCTCTACCTTGCCTGTTGGTCGAGAACCCTGAGGTCGTGGAGGCTGTGGGAACCCACTGAATCCTGCTGGGCCTTGGGGGCTCCAGCCACAGACTCGGCATGAAGTTTGGCTGGTGGAACTGCGCAGGCGTGTTCCAGCCCCAGGCAGGCTGCCCCCCGGCGCCAGGGGCCTTCCCACGCCCCATGATGCTGGAGGAGCCGAGCCACAGGCCAGGGGCGGTGTCCGGACTGTGGGCGTTTCTCCTCCTGGAGGATCAGCTGCCTGTTTCTAACCCGCAGCCCCTCTGCCCCTGGAGCCCCGGCAGCCTGAGGGTTTCCTTCAACGCAGAGCAGCCCACCAGGGCCACCCCGCCCTTCTCCTTGGGAAGAAGCCGGCAGGTGACCTTGATTCTCCAGCCGCTGGCTCCAGTGGACTCTCCCACCCGCTGGGCAGACCCAGGCACGAGGATGTTAATTCCTTATAAGTCAGGTGAAGACCAGAAACCCGTGGGTAGAAGACGGTGCTGCTGTCGTCGTCTGTGTGCGAACACGTGGTAAAGCAGTGTCTGGAAGGCTTTTGGGGGGCAAAGGACTGGCACAGGATGGTGCAGCTGGGGATGCCCGCTGGTGAGGGCGCCCTGGCCGGGTGCTGGGAGGAGGGCAGTGCGTGGTTCCAGAGGGGGCTGCGGGCCACAGGGTGTCCCGAATAGTGCCCGGGCCCTCCCGAGTGGAAGAGCTGGGGTGCCGCTGCTCCCCTGTGCCTTTGGGAGCCAAGCCGCCAGCCCCGGCTCCTGCCGGCCTCTTCCAGGGCGGCGCCGGCTTCTGGGCCTTGTAAGGGCAGCGGCGGCCCTGGCTGCTCTTTCCGAAGACGCTGCTCTGCTGAGGCCCCAGTTACCTGTGTTTGGGAGCTAGGCGGGGACAGGTGTGCCCAGAACAGGGGCCCCCATGGGAATGCGCCTCCCCTCCACAAGTCCAAACAGGATTCCCTGGAGAAACGGAGGGGTTGGGGGAGGATGTAATTTTATAGCTAAAGGGGGTTGACGGTTATTGCAAAGTGACTGGGGAGAGAGATGGGCACTGGACGCTCTGTGGCTCCCTGGTTAGTCTTTGGAGAGCCCAGTCTGCAGGGCGGTGCACGGAGACTCCCCGCCCCCCATTCCTCGGGCAAGATCCCTAAGAAACCGGAGGGCAGGGTTGAGGGGCCTGAGCGGGAGGTGCAGGACAGAAGAGAGCTGCTCAGAGGCGCGGCTCAGGGGCCTGCCAGGCCCTGGGCAGACACAGGTCAGACCCTGCCAGACGGGCTGAACAGGCGCAGCTGTTTTTGGCTGCGTGTGGCGAGAGTTTTGTTCAGAGTACCAAGAGGATAGAGCGGTCCCCTGAGGCCCTGGACGGAGCCAGCGGCGTTCACCGTCAGGGGACATTGCCTCCCAGCTGCCGGTGAGTGGGGCTGCGGGCCGGGAGAGTGAACCTCCTCACCGTGTTTGAAACTGAACTGCATCTCGATTGCAGGGGCTCCGGGCTGCAGAGCCAGCGGGCTGTGGCGACTTTGCTTTCTTACTCCGGCACCAGCTGCAAGATGTGCTAGGCCCTCTTCTTTCCTGTGGTCACTCCAGCCCCCCCCGGCGCCCAGCACAGCAGCTGCGCCTGGCCGTCGTGCAGGCTGATTTGACGCCAACTGCCGGTCATTTCACGGAGAGCCAGCCCGCCACTCAGGTTCCCCAAACACTTGTGCTTCTTCAACTGCTCACATATTGGAGGGCCAGGGAGGCCCCCGCAGGCAAAGCCCGATGGAAACGTGCGTTTTCTATAAGTCTGGTGAAGGCAGGCGTTCCTGACCCAGCTCTCTCCCGAGCTCCAGTGCAGCCACACACGCCTACGGCGCTCAGCCATTAATGCTAGAGAGTGAGTGTTTTGGGGGGCCAGGCACCTGGCCCCCACCCCAACCCTCCTGGGGTGTGTTATCATGGCTGCTTTAGAGGCACAAAGGAAGACAGAGAGACACAGGGACATTCCGGGTCACACGGTGGCATGGAACTCATCGTGTCTCTCCAAACTCACGCGCAGAAAGCCTCCCCAGTGTGACTGTATCCAGAACAGGGACACTATGGGGGTGAGGCAGACTTGAGGGGTCACCAGGGAAGAACCCCCGCCAGTGGGGCTGTGTTCTTACAAGGATGGGGGGCTTTGTCCTTTCTGTGTGCACCTGGGAGAGGCCCCCAGACAGAGTGAGAAGGAGCTTCGAGCCCCCGGGGCCCCCGCCCAGACAGCACAGACCATGGCCATCCACTCCAGGACCTCCAGAGGTTCAGCCCTCCAGTCTGAGGGATGTGGCTGCCAGATGACGGCCTGGGGTTAAGCTCCAGGGTCAGACTCGAGTCTGTGCCTCCAGCACCCTCTTATTCCTGTTTTCGAGGGCAAGGGCGAGGGACTATGTGTGAAATGTGACCTTTACGACTTCTTTAAGTACCTTGTATTTTACAAGGTAAAACGCTGCCGGTAAATGCCCACGGGGAAGGCTGCTGCCCAGCTGTGACTTGGGGCAGCCAGCACCTGCGCCCCTCCATCCTGCCTGCTGCTGCCCCCCACCCGCCCCAGCTCTCCTTCTGTTGGGGGACAGGGTGTCTGAAACGAGCTCTACAGATACAGGTATTGTGGACCCCACCCCCACCCCAGACACCGGAGCTACAAATCCCAGCATCACGGCAGGGAGGACGCTGGGCCTGAGGGTGGAGTTAAGCAGCCATGTTGGATCTAAAACCGGACACGTGGGCTTTGGGGGGCTCTTGGCCTCGTGGCTCATCTCTTGGCTTTTTGCCAGCTCTCAGTGTGCTATCGGGGTTCCAGGTCAGTGGAAGTGGTCGGAAGCATTCACCAACGTGCCCCTCTTTTTTCCTCCCCCCTCCCAGTTTCTCATTTCCCTTCCTCTTGTAAATAAACCCGTGATTAACCTTGTGCCTGCAGTCGAATCTTATTATCAGCCCCTTTAAGTGCGCAGGCGAGGACCCAGTCGGGCACTTTGCGGTGCCTTGTGAAACTTCTCAGGCTGCTCATTCTGGGCCACACAAATGAGTTTGTTCTTTACCAAATCTGTCACTGGCCACCATCTTCAGGAAGTCACTTAGCGACACCACCTAACCTTTATTTCTTTAAAAGAATTCACTAAGTTCCTCAAATCAAAAAACCACAGGCTTTTTCTTCAAGTACATTCTACGTGGCTCTTTTCCCCAACAGGGAGGACCTGCAGCCTGGCTCTGTCTGCTGTATCGCTGATTCCTCCACTGACACAAAGCGGTTGGGAGAACTCACACCCATCCGCCGACAGCTGTTTGCACACGATCCGGACCTCGAAGCCGAGGGCAGACACCCCTCCAGCAGAAACAAGAAGACCCACATGACACTACTCAGCCCGGAGAGCTCCAGCAGATCCTGGTAGATCATGGGCCGGTGAAAGGCGCGTGAAAGCCAGTCAGCAAACTTCCTTGCTTCCAAAACTCTCCCTTCATACGACACCTTGCATGGAAGTCCCCAGTGCCTACTCATCTGACTCAACAGCCTTTCGGGGCCTCCATGTTCCTCCCAGGGGGAGGGCCCTGGCCTTCTTAGACGCTGAGGGCACTGCCTGTTGCTAATGCTGCAGGAGCTGTGTCCTCTGGCACTATCAAGCACACACCTCTGCCACAGGAAGGGAGTTCCGTGGCAGGCCTTTTTACTGTCAGCATTTCCCTGAGGGCAACTGTGGATTGTGGGGTCTTGCTATTGACCAACTATTGTGTTCAAAGTTACTTAAATTCACTTAAATCCATTCTTTTTTCTACACGGCTGTGTTCTCTGTTTTCTACCCAACAGGCTCACTTGCTTCCGTTTGTATTCACTCTGAGGACTTGCTTTCGTCATCTTATCTAGAAAGAAATTATACATCATTTAAGTGGTTCAAAAATTAAGTCAGTGGGTGATCAGGTGATTTGAGTTACTGATGTTGAAGCACAACGCTCACACCTGAAGCTCATGTAATGTTGATGATAAAAATAGACTGAGATAAGCAAAAAAAAAGAAAAAAGAAAAAATACCACGTCTTCGCTCTTAAAAGAATTAAGCGTGGGGACACGAGCCTCGGAGCAGCCTCCAGCGAGCTCCAGGAAAGCGGCCTGATTCTGAGCTTCTTAGGGCTGATTTACAGTCATTGCAAGGATTTTTGCAGAGGCAAGAAAACCCAGGTGGGCGTCTGGTTAATGTAGCCATCAGCTCTTATCGGGGCACCGAGGGAAACCAGGACGGTGGTGAAAAGTGCCCCTTTCCAGCTTTGTCCTCTGGGAGCCGGGAGCCGGGGCCAGGCCACGCGCCTTGAGGCCTCTTTCTTTGAAGTTACTGACCTGCCCGGAGTCCCCACCTAGGGTGTTGATTCAGCTTCTGCACAGCCGTCTGGCTGCGTCTCAGCTCTTTGACTCGCACAGTTCTCGAGACCAGGGCAGGTCGGATTTAGCTTCCAGTGTCTTAGGCCAACATCCCCTACCCAAGTCAGCCCCAACAGCTGTATCCAGAAGAGACCCAGCCCCCTGCTGCCCTGTGCCGGACGTGGCCACCGGTTTCCACCCCGCCCTTCCCGCGTTTCCTTTAGAAATGCAGCAGCCAGTCTACACTGCTCTCCCCTCTCAGACTCAGCAGTCTGCTTTGAAGGAGGGGTGTAGACGGCGTGTTTGAGGAGGAAGAGGTGAAGGCGAAGATGGCAGAGAACTGCAGAGGGTGGGCCCCAGGCCCTCAGGCGCCTGCCCACCCCCCAGGTGTAGCAGCTGCATCTGTTACACCTTCTCAAGTGGGGTGCATCC